AATTATATCTTTTGTCATAAACAGGGTCTACAAATTTGAGTTTTTTTGTCATAAACAGGGTACCCCTTTCAGAATCCCAGCGGAACACCCCTACCCAAATCTTGGCAGAGTACCCCCMGGGCTATATCTGTTAAATAGTACTGTACAACATGACTACCAGGGGATTTGTCATAAAATAAAGGGGGAGGGGTGGGGTGAACAGGGGTTGGGCCACACAATTTTGTATTTCTTAAAAGGGATGGGCTGTCTATGAAACTGTACATTAGGGGTGGGTCATTTTTTCATTTCCTGCATGGAAACTCAGGGGGGCCTGATTTTTTCGACCTCTTCTTATACTGAGCCAGCTAAAAAAAGAGCTCTTTCAAATCCAGTTTCAAGCCGACCACCCTTTACTTTATGACCAGTCCCTTAGTTAAAAAACTGCTGTACTGATGAAACTTTGCTTTGGGTTGTAGTTTCAATGCTTTTCTTGTGTTCTCTTAGCCTTCTCCGCAGCCGTCATTAGTTTCAGTCTCAGATCCACTGACACTGCAGAGGAGACTAGTGTTCTCTCGGCATCCTGTATGCTTTGATTAGAGTAACAGACATGGAAAACTGTTTTATTTTTTGATAACAATAATGGTCTATGTTACGACCAGGTTTAAAATGGAAGGGTTGTTTGCTTTGCAATTAGCCTGAGTAGCATCCTTCAATGACTTCAAGAGTATTGAGAACCACTATGCAGGTTAGCTTTGCAATAATTGCTGTCATAGAGTAATATTAATTTAATATTAAAGAGTTTTTAATTGTTATGCATTTTTGGTGGGTTTTATTTATTTTTTTCTGTTTTGAAAATCACAAATTGTACTCCCCTAAAGGCTCAGGCTTGTCCAATTTTAAAAACTTTCAAAACATCAATCCTACCTATCAATTGCAAATTGTACTGGAGATCGTGTGATTTCCTATACAAACCCACCATCATGTGTGTCAATTGATTCACTTATGCTTCTCCCCTGTGTGTCTTTTTTTCCTCTCAGTTCTGTGTTTTTCCTCCCTGCAGGAATATCAATTTGATTTTTTTTTTTTTTTTTGGAAATTCAATCTGGTGTGGAATAAGCTCCCAAAATGATCATGTAAAATCAATTGCATTTGTGTTTGTCTGTTTATTGTTATTTTGTGATTGGTTTTTTGTTAATTCTTTTTTTCCACTCTGAAAATGATTGTCAAACTGGGGCTGACTAGAAAGTACAAGTTAAAAAATATATATGAGGATGTGAGGGTTTCCTTGACTTATACTTCATACTATGCTCGGTTTCAGCCGTGACGTTGCCATTGGTTGCACTGAAACCACCAAGGCTGGTAATCAAGCCTAGGTTCCTACTGTTTTCCTGTTGATTTTGAGAGAGTTCTCTCCCCTCCCCTCCCCTCCCCTCCCCTGCAATTTCATTAAAAAGAATCCCTTGCTGTGTGTCAAAGGTCAGCTATCATTTTGAACACTCTCCTACTGATATCTCGGTAACAATTCCCCCTCCCCTCCCCTCCCTTGCCCTGCAATATCAGCACATAGATCTCTTGTATGTCAAATGTCAGCTATTGTTCTGAACTACTAGTCCAACTCGTTACTTGTTATCACAAGTCCACGGGGACAAACGATTTGAACACCTTCCCCTACCCTCCCCTCCCTTGCCCTGCAATATCAGCACATAGATCTCTTGTATGTTAAATGTCAGCTATTATTCTAAACTACTAGTCCAACTCGTTGTTATCGCAAGTCAACGGGGTCAAACGATTTGAACACCTTCCCCTACCCTCCCCTCCCTTCCAGTGATTTACCTTCATTGAGACCCCTGGCTGTGCGGTGAAATAATTACTGGTAAATAGTCATATGCCTACAACAGTCCAAGAACACTAGCTCAGTACTGACCACCACTTTAAGTTTATTAGGCATGTACACTAGTTATAGCCAAGTACTTCGTGTTTTAGTACTCTGCTTTCTTCTCGTCACTTGCCGGACCTTTGAATACTGCAAGAAAATCGATGCAGCGAAATGCGAGACCGACGAAGGGACCATAGACCTGTGGAAGCTTGCTCGAAGTGATGGACAACCCAAGTAAGTCTCAAATTTATCAAACTACATCTGGATATGTTTATTTGTATTACAACAATTATTTGGCCATGACCCATTGCGTGTAGGGTCGCACCTGTAGTATAACCGAGGCGACCTAAAGTCATTGACCTAGAGGTCTACGAAGAAAACATTTCGAGTCTTATTTTAATAGTTGCGAAATATGTAGAACTCTTGTGGTGGTATTTATTCTGTGGTCCCAAATAACTATGTGTGACTACAAAGAGCTAAAAGAGCGATAAGTAAAAAAATATAATATTAGCATTTTATAGTGGGGTTCCTATATATTTTAAATATCTCAATGCGCTTTACATTTTTATAACCAGTGGATGACTTTACGGGCTGCGTATTAAGGCGCATAGTTAATAGAGGGACTCGAGTCCCCTTTTGTTTCAATATTGAAATCTGTATGAATCAGTCAGTACACGTTAGTGTATATCATAGTTTTAGTTTTGAATATAGAATGTCTCGCGCTGTGTTGGTCGACCGACCAGTGATTAAGACCAACTCAAAGACTACCCAAGTGCACCAAAGTGATAAATTTAGCTTCACTTTTATATTTATATTTTGTTTAGTTTTGGATTAGTGGTTTGTCTGAAATGATTGTCATTTTGCATACGTATAGCGAGTGTCAGCAGAATGTACCGCCGGTGAAAGTCTGAACAGTTGTCAATCAAAGATCTATTATAGATTAACATTCTTACTAAGGGGAAGCCCTCCCCCTTTTGCTCAGTAAGAAATTCATCAAAATTAAGAGATCTGCGGACCCTTCGAAGGTTTCAAATTTTTAATAACGACCCTCCCATCCGAACCCCAGCAGCCCCGCCCCCCAATAAAAAACGTGCCTTCCCTAACAGGGAGTAACTTTTAGACCTATTCATCAAAAAAACAAATTTTGACCCTCTACAAAACTCGAGTTCAATTTTTTACTCATGACCGTCCCCTTTGTAGCCCTAGCCCTCCCCTCCCCCAATAAAAACATACATTCTATAGGCGACAAGCGACGATGTAGCATCAAACCTTCCAACGACCATGGCCATACCATACTAACTAGTAGATCTATAGCACCCTCTCACAATTCAATCTCTATTTAGATTCAAGGATATACCAGACAATAAAGTGTCAAACCAGTACTACAGTTTCAACCCCGGGAAGTCCTGGTCCGACACGAGGAGACAAACAGGCGATTTTAACTCCTGTCAAAATATTGCCGTAAGTATCAAAATAACACTTATTTTTTAACGCCCGTCGTGCGGGTTAACGCCCTGATTTTTACAAAGGTCTTTCATTGCAGCGTTGAAATAAACGGATATTCTTCATTAAATGGACCGCTAGTTGGACGGTAGTAAAATTCCTTATTGTAAAAACAATCTTCTATTCAGGGGATACGTTTTATTAAGCGGGCACCTGATAAGATCCCGAAGGTTTAATAGAGGTACCGCTTTATATAGAGCGTAATTACTGAATTCTTTTTCGCTGGGGAAGGAAGGCATTTCCCCCTTTAATTCGAGGCCGAATTACTAGGTCGTGGTTGTATTTTTGATCTGGTTATCGTACCCTCTATATACCCTCGTACCCTCCAGCTGTCCACGGTTTCTAGTTGAGCTGGCTCATTTTTTTTCGCGACTTGAAGTTGTGAAAGGCTTGTATGGCACTCTTCTTCAGTCGTTTCATCTAAGGCTCGTAATTTACCTATTACGCATCGTACCCTCTATATGTTCCTTCGTGTTCTTGGAGTTTTTCTAAATGAAACTCGAGTGAAATTCATCCTTAATTTCGATCAGCACCATCGTGCAATTAAACTAATTTTCGTTAACTTGCGAAACAAAAGGTTGAAAAAAAGAATGTGTAAGAGCCAAATAGACTTAAAAGAAAACAATGAAAATATTATCTGCAAACCTCTATTAGTCTCTTCAAGTCCATTCCTATTCCTTGATTGCAAGTTACGTCATCACGGTCATGTTGGCGCCAAAAGATTTCTCATTAGCATCCACTATTAACGGCACCACCATGGCCGCCATGTTTTTGTCTTTTGACTCTTAATATTGCTTGCAATCCATCAATAGAGGTTTTGCTTTTCACCTGATGGCAGCCATGTTAGATGGCAGGAACAATACAATTCTTTTACATAACAAAGAATTCAAATACCGAGAGTTAAAGGGACTTCATTGTTCTGCCATCTAACCACAGGCAGCCCAGGCTGTATTTTTGACGTGGGCACGTGATGGTGCAAAACCTCTATTGTAATTATGAACCATGCATTGGTTATCTTTTAGGCATGCATGCGCTATAGCTCTTCTTCAGCTGGCGACAGCATATATGCCAACATTGGTACCCAGTCCAGTGTAGACTTTATCCATAATCCATCTGATGGTACATGTACGATGAGTCTGAAAGGACAATATTTGAGCACGTGAGTAAAAGTTGGCCATGCACCTGGAAAATAGTCCTCTTCGCAGTTTCCTGCACCATCTTGAATGGTAACCGTTTGATGACCTTGCGATGATGGAGACCTGGCCATTATTCATATGTCACCGGCGTTCTCCCTTCGATGCCCAGGCACGGTTACCATTCAAGACGGCGCACTGCGAAAAGGACTATTTTCCAGGTGCTCGTAAAAATATGTATGTATATTGTCAGAGAACACACCCTTGCTATTAATTAGGGGATTTAAAATCTGCAAAATGATCTACGACGGCGACGACAACCGGATGTGTGAATAATTTTTCTTTGGGGTTCTGTTTATTGCAGATTTCATTCAAAACATTGTCAGTAAAGTTAACTCATCCACAGGGAAGACAGACTTTGAAGGTGCGAAACCCCAAAACGAAGTAATTTACACTTCCAGTTGACGTCGCCGTCGTAGATCTTTTGCAAACCTAATTGACCTAATTCACTATGACATCACTGCTTGTTTATGTCGGGGATAGAATCGGCAAATCCAATAGAAAATTCAACAAAATTTGTTCCTAGCGAAACAATTTAATCTAAAATGGCCTGGTTTTCAGATATGATATGTGTTAATATGTACTAAAAAATATTCTGAGCGTTTGCTGACTATTCTACTTCTCTTCGTGGAATGATACGGGATTTAGAACAATTTTCGGTGAATTTGCGTAGATTTGACCCCGTCCGACGACCATGATCCTTTGCGTTTAAACAATAGATTGTTGAAGATTGTTTTGATGTGACGTCATAGTGAAATAGGGCAATTTACGGTGACAGAGACTAGGCGTTTTTCACGCCCGCTAACTCAAATGGTTAAGATATGGCGGTAAAGAAACGACGCGTACAGTCCACACAGCCCTAGAAGGTCTTGTCCTATTGAGTTAAAAAAACAAACAGATAAAGCTGCCTTTACTAAGCTAGAAATAATGTGAATAAATCCTTCTGTCTCCTCTTTTACCCCGACGAAGGACTAGCGTCCGAAACGTCAGTAAGTTGTTTCATCTTTTCACGGTGTATAATTTACCTTTTCATCATTACTGTTTCATTAGAAACACCGACGCAGCTCACACTAGTTTTTAGCTAGTTATATCCTTCTGTCTCTCTGTCTATTTTGATCGAATAAGCACTAATTTGACAGCACGTGATTTACGTTGACGCCGAATGCCATCCGTCAGTTCGTTGTTTTCTCAACGAAACTGATAATTCTTATCCTGGATAAAGTTTGCTAAAGTGTGTGTAAGGAATTTGTCATCGTTTTTTTTTCTTCAGAAATACTAAGACGCTGATTACAATTATCTGCAACGAAGAAGAAGAAGGCAAGCTTGATCTGTTTGTTGCTGATGAGAGGTCTGGATCATGGACCTACGTAAGTTTTTACTGACGGGAAAAAGAAATGTCCATTATTGAAAAAAGGGGTGAGGTAGCGATAGACTTTGTTGGGCCTCTCTCTTGATTCAAGCGTTTGCTTCGGCCATTCAAATAGTAGGATATCTCCGCCTTTACCGTACCATAGTTTCTCTTTTTATTCAATATAGACCATTTTCTCAAGGTTTCGTGCGCATCCAAATTTAAGAAACTTGACGGGCCATAATACCAGAACAGGAGCTTTATGATGAGTATTATCATGCCTTGCTATGAATTTTTTTCCGATAAGAATTCATAAAATTGATTATTCTCCTCTTTAAATATAAAACTGGCTTCTCAATTTTACTGAATTTCCTTTTTTCAGTTTTGTGGCCCGTCAAGTTGGGTGCGCACGCAACCTTGAAAAAAACGTGGTTCAAATCGCTTTCTTTTTCCTATTTCTCCAGACATCAACTCTTCAGACAAAGCATGCCTGTTTTTCTCCCTTGAGTATCGGATCAATTATTTTGATCACGTAAGTATTATATCTTTATATCAATACTATACGCCTATAATCTTACTGCACCAGCAAACTCTCCAAATATGAAATTTTCCATTATTGCGCGATAATTCCTAAGATATCGATCACAAGACAATAAGGGAGGCTTCATAATATTTTAGCCTTAACATTTCAGCCAAAAACAAAATACAACATGTGGGCTTGTAACTGGAAAGGGGTGGGCGGGAGAAATAAAATAGCTTTTATGTAAACCATGAGTAAAATAATGATGTTTTTTAAATACTGTTTCTATGAACCAGTTCAATTTTGTATATTTAATTTAAGCCTTAATAGACGTCACACTTATTAGCATATTGGAAGTATAAACCTTCATAACTTAGATACGCATCATTGAAATCAAGAAATATTTTACCATTCAACTATTTACTTCGTGTAAAATCAGTACGGAAAGTATTGTCAAAGGGTTCATGTGCACTTTAAGGTCCTTTAAGGTTACCAGCATAGGTTACAGTTACTTTATTGTTTGTTTATCTGTAGATTTGTGTCGGTTGTTGTGGTGTACTTCGTGGCAGGGATCGTGTTTAACAAGTTCAAGAGAGGAGCTAGTGGAAAGGATATTTGTCCTAATTATGGTTTCTGGTCAGATTTGCCGTTTCTCGTCAAGGTAAACAACCAATAATTGATGGTTATTTAAAGGCGATTATTGAATATTATTAATTTGTTTGATGGCAATTTAATCATTTGACGAGAATTATTTAAGGCCATTATTTAAGCAATATAAGGCGCGCGCGCATGTCTCTGTACCGTGATATAAGCTAATCTCGTACCCAGAGTCTGCGTTTCTTCTGGCCTGCGGCGAAGAACGAGGGCTCTGGAATAATCAATTTTTTGAGACCAGGATTCCTTGGACTTCCGGTATAAGTGCGCATGCATTCAAAGCCTTGCCAAAATAAATCAAAAGTATGTTCGCGATTCCTAATTTTTATTTTGATCGAAAGCATAAACATAGAACCCTTTTTGAAGACATGATTTTCATTTATATTTCACTTCCGGAAAATTGCGCATGCGCCAAAGATGGATTATGCCAGAGCCAGGTATGTACTTCATGTATCATTCTTCGCCGCAGGCCAGAAGAAACGCAGGCTCTGGGTGCGAGATTGGATATACCGTAAGCACGATGTGAGCTATAGAGCACGAGAGATGAGAGCCATTTGATGATGTTTATTTAATCAGTGTCATCATTTAATTATTATTATTCTGTTTTCTGACAGGATGGTATTGTGTTTTCAGTCCAGACATGTCGAAGTAAGGTTTCTGGTAGGAAGGAAGATTACGCTTCTATATAACTAGATTAGTTATAATATTGATATTTTTATGCATTACTATTTTCAAAACGTTCTGCTGTATCTATACGCGCCTTAATCTTTAGCCAGTATTTTTACCTTTTTTTTTTTTTTTTTTGAATTGTCGCTGTTTTGCAATTTTGAAACTACATTCCTCGCCAATTAATCCTACAAAGAAAAGTTTCTTTCTTATCACGATTCTGGAACTACTAAATTTTTAATTTAGAAAATGATTATTATCGACATTCACGACATGCAAGTTTAATTTCCGCAATTTCAATTTCATATAATTCAATTTTGTCCAAATTAATTTGGAAGTATTTAAAAGAAAATTCAAGAGGACCAGTATTTTAAAAATTTAATATTTTAGTATTAGAAAGGACTATTACATTTATTTTGATGTTTACGTCCGGTAGTTTTGTTGTCGTCGTATCTCCACGGCAACGATTCTAATGTAGGTGTTTATTACAAACTTCCTGGAGTTTTAAATATAAACACTCTGGTTTATTTTTAAGAATATGTGATAAAAACGTTTATCATTGAGGAACTTGATTATCGGTACAATAATCAAAAATAAGATTATGCCTCCTACTTTCAAAATCATTCATGGCTCAAAAAACAAGAAATATAAAAAAGATTAGTAGAGGCTTAAGTTTCTTTTAACTTAGTTTTTTTTATCTTAATGAGCTGTTATCTAGTTTATTTGACGGCCAGTCGTGTGGTAATCTTATGGTAGCTTATCTCAATGACGTGTTTATTATTGTTAACTCGAATGATGTTATTTTATGAGTTTTGTGCGACTTTGAGTCGGCTCTTCCTTTTTTTTAGCTTATATTCGACGTGTTCAATTCTACTAAACTCAGTTACTCCCAAGACTCTTTAACGAGAAATTACTACGAGCATTAGCATTGACTGAATAAGACGTATTTTTCATGTGAATAAGACATGTTTTCTCATATGACTGCCAAGCCAAACATCTGTTTCAATAAAAGAGACATTCAGGCGTTATAGTGATTGACAACAAAGCTGTTTGGTTTGCCTTCAGAATAAAGTCATATTCATCTTTCAAGTTGAGAACAATTCAACCTCGACCAAAGTTCATTAAATTCAAACTCAATGCATTTGGACAGCTTGGTATCGAGGGAAAATCTCGTTCAATCGTACAGCCGGAAATCTTTCATGAATGCGAGAAGAAAAAAATCTCAAAAGTCAATCTAGGAACCGCGTACATCAAGGGTGGGACGTTCGGTTTGTATTTCCGTTTTAATTGTTTATTTAAGGCTTTTCTGACTTAACCTTGATACACCTGTCCTCTGGCAATACTCTCAAGTCGGCCTTTTAGAAAACCAGGAGTCGTTTTATCCTATAATTATCCTAGATAGAAACAGATCGAACAATACTACAGAGGATTCCTGTATGTGACAGAAACAGGTAAGCTTATGCTGATTATTGCACGTCATCTTCTTATGTGTTTCGTATTACTCCTAAAAATCCTGACGATTTTTTCGTTTGGCTTTTTGTCCTTTTTTCCCTAAATTTCTGGCACAACTTCGGTTCTAAGAGTTCATGATTAAAATAATTTTTTAGCTATGACTTTTTTGGCGGATTTGCTTTTTATTCTGGCGATTTCTCTTGATTTCACAAGATGCAGGATGAATTAAAACTCACAAATCAAGAATAAACAAACGAACTAAATTTTTTCCATCTTTCGATTATAAGACAAAAGAGAACAGTAGTTAACAAATTGATTGAAATGGCTCGTTTGTCCCACAAGGATTTGCCCATTGGCGAATCTCGAGTTTTTAAAAACGGGATGTCATCAGTTCTGTGTTCAACAAGTGCAATATGCGATTTCATCTTTATTGGATGAAATTGCTGAAATAAATAAGTTTAACTTATATCTTCATCAAAGCAAATCCGCCTATTTTCTTGCCAGACATTGTAAACGTTTCGACTATAAGATAAACCTTCAATCTACTTTTTCTTTTGACTTGAAAAGCAACAAGAAAGGGTAGTCTTACACCCTCTACATCACCTTGGATATGTTACTTTTTCGTTCAGGATTTTGTTTGTGTAGCGGGAGTTCACTTAAAGAGGGATAATTATTGATATGATTGGGTGTAAAAAGCGGGACTAGAATGAATGTCTTAGTCTATCAGTATTATGTAACTTTTCAGTATCTGTGGAGCGATAAAGCCTAGAGGCAGTACGCGGAACTGAACCAGAGGTATCGAGAAAGTGACTACAAGAGCGACAGTTGAATGATAGAGGTCTTCCTCACCAATGTCAACAGTCATGGATCGACCTTCACTCTCTGTACGAAACACTACACAAAGCCCCATAGTTGACATAGCAACTATCTGTCGTCTTTCAACAACAGTTGAAAACCTTGCTCAGGGATTTTTCCTGATTGTCATATCAATCATCACCGTACTTGGAAACAGTGCTATATGTTGTGGTATCCTGTGGAATCGTATGCTTCATCGATATACCAACTATCTTGTCGTATCGTTAGCAGTATCAGACTTGATGGTAGCTGTGTTTTCGCTACCTTTTCGAATTCATCAAACTCTACACAATACTGGCTGGTGTCTTGGAAAGAACGCCTGTATATTTTGGATATGGATTGATTTATTATGTCGCTGTGCATCGTTTGCTAACCTCGCTCTTATCGCACTGGATCGCTTCTTAGCGACTATCTTCCCACAAAGGTACCATCGTATCATCACTACCAACTCGGGCACTTTTTTGTTACTCTTCGTCTGGCTAGACGCCCTTGTTATCTCGTCTCTAGGGCTGACAAACTGGACGTTGCCCAATGCTCCTCTTGTTGGTCTTACGAATTTCGGCTGTTCAAAAACGCATGATCCTTATTTCTATACTTTTGCTGCAGTCGTTGGATTCTTCCTGCCTTTGTACATTATTGGTATTTCATATACGTATGTTCTTGTCGCAGGGTTGTCTCACTGGAAGGCGACCTCTAAAGCCATCCACCCGACTCCCCCTCCAATCGCTGATGGAAATAAAGCTAGTAACAGACTTGCTCTTGGGCGAGAGATCAAGGCAGCACAGACCTTAGCGATTGTAATTGGTTCCTTTGTGATCTGTTGGCTACCATTCTTTGTCATCTTACTAGTTGTCTATTGGTGCCCTTCGTGTTTGAGTCAGCTCAATAAGCCCATTAATGTAACGTTTATCTATGTTCTACCAAACATCACTAGTGCTCTCAACCCCATCATATTTTTCATTTTCAGTAGGAAATTGAGAGAAGCTTTTTTGAAATTTTGTAGCTCGATTACTAAAATAGTTAATAGGTATTAATATTATTAATATCAAAAGGATTAAAATTTAAAAAAATTAATCAACTCGTACGGTATGAAAAAATAAACCCATTGACCAAAATTATTGAAATATCGATAAAGATATTCAAGATATAGAAAATGGATAAAAACGAAAGAAAATTTTAAAATGTAAATAAATGAACCTGTTTGTACAGACAGTTGCACAAACCTCGACCACGTGATAGAACTATAATATTGCATATTGTTTTATCATGCGTCAGTAATCGATACTTTTGGTCAGACCTGTCGGTTAAACTTCTTAGTTTGAGTAAAATAATATTTCTTTTTCTTTTTTCTAGTATTTCTTTCTGAGAATAATATTATATTTCCAAAATATTTCCAATATTATATTTCTTTGAACCTTGATGTCCTTTTTCGACCAATCACAAACACTTATCAACCATTTTCTCGACCAATTACAAACACTTATCAACCATTTTCGCGACCAATTACAAACACATCAACCATTTTCTCGACCAATCACAAACACTTATCAACCATTTCCTCCGCGACCAATCACAAACACTTATCGACCATTTTCTCGACCAATCACAGACATTTATCTACCATTTTCTCGACCAATCACAAACACTCATTAACCAATTTGTTTGACAATAACCACTCATTAATACTTTTTTCGACACAAGCACTCGCTAGCCAATTTTTAACCAATTCAAAGCTTGAATACTCTCTAGCAATTTTTTGGACCAACCACAGCTCATATCTTGTTGCACTTATATTATACCCGTCGTTTGATTGTAAAGGATTGGCAAAATTTTAAGACAGTTCAGTTTGTTATTCTTTTCATTAGTTTCTCCCCATTGTCACTATACAATGACATAACGCAGATTCACGAATAACAAAGGTTGTACTCGGTAAGACGGTACCATCATTCAGATAACAATTTAAGTATTTTATATTGAAATAGTTTGATGACAATGATAACGGAATTGATTTTCTGGGGCGTCATTATGGCGTCTTCCCTTCAAACACGACACCTGAAGCAGCGACAACTCACACGTCGGGGATTCGATTTCCGCGGCAGAGTACATAAACTGAAAGAAGAGACCAACTGACGTGAACGTTATCAAATGCTCACATCTCAAACAAGTTTTGGCTAAGATTCAATTTAGCGAGTGTAGTTTACAAGCAGCTTTGTCTTGTTCCTATGTTACTTTCTTTGTTACTTTTCAGGATTTTTATAGATCAAAAAAGGATTAATTAGTTGGTATATCTAGAAAACGTCGCACGAAGAAGACCTTCCAAAGGTGTAATTTAACCTAGTTCTGGATTAAATTTATACCTACGCCATTTTTTTATAAGATATTTATTAATAGATATTGATGTATAAAGCTTCAGGTATCTGGATAGATTTGATGGCGCAACTGTTGATAATGATGATGATGATTACGGATGACATGATAGCGATTTGATTTAACGATTTGATTTTGACAGAGTTTTTTTTGAGGGTGATGCCGATGTTCATGATGATGCTAATGATAGCGACGATGATGATGAATATTATTATTATKATGTCGTTAGTGGTGATGATGATGACGTTGGTGCTGGAGGTGGTGTCGATGATGATGATGGTGGTGGTGGTGATGATGATGATGCTGTTACTGGTGATGGCTGTTATTGTTGGTGGAGGTGGTGGTGGTGGATGGTGATGTTGTTGGTTGCGGTGCTGATGATGATGAAGATGTTGTTGGTGATGATGGTGGTGGAGATGATGACGGTGCTGTTGGTGGTGCTGATGATGTAGTGTTCTAGTCGTTGATAGTGTCGGTGGTGATTATAATAGTGCTCGTTATCAGTTATGATTTGACTGCTAGATCACTGTATAGCTTTTACAATAGCACACTACAGACATACATAAAGATAGGCAGATATAGAGACAGACAAACATTGCATTTATATAAAAATATAAAAATGGCAGTGGCCGGATTTTCACAAAAACAAACAACCCACCCTTTTTAAAAATCTTTTTATCTCATTTGAAATACCTCCAAACTTTCCCTTTTTTTAAAGATTTCTATTTGTCTTTTACTTGTTCTTATTTTGCGAATGAAATCGACTTTCCTCGGTGTTGTCGTAGATCATGTTACACAGGAGGTAGCAATAAATTGAATATTGACCCAGCAGGTCTTTGATCCACCAAACCCACTCGTTTATATTATGACTAGGTGACACTGGTTTCCAATGTTCAAATTATATTTACTGAACGAATGCAAACATTTGACTGATTATCCCTATAACCTAGTCACGCGAAACCTTGACACAGAGTCTATGTGTAAACACTGAACGTAAACACAAGATGATCATAGTGTGCCTTGTGTATTGATGGACACTTGGCATATACTACTCGAATCATTCTCCTTCTCTGTTTAGTTTGTCAAACCTTTTTTTTTTATTGAAGTGGGAAAAGAGGTGTATATTACAATTGGCTTCAAAACCCACGCATTCTGATTGGATGCTGGTGTAGTGGGCCCCAGGACAGTTCGCTTTTCTCAGCCCAATGCAGGTTTTCGGTTCGACAAACAACTATTCGAAATTAAAGAAAATAAAACTCATCCGTGGAAAATTTCGTCAAATATATTTTAGAAATAGCATATTTTGCTTTAACAAGAGATCATAGAAAATACTTGGAAATTCTCACTGTGACAAACAAATATTGAGCGCTCACATTCCAAATCACCTGGCCTCTTAAATGGCTTCCCAATCTCGTAACCAGAGACTGCGTTTCTTCTGGCCTGCGGCGAATAACGAGGGCTCTGGCATAATCCATAGACCAGGATTTCTTGGACTTCCGGTATAAGATCTCTTACGTTAAAAGACTCGCCAAAAATAAAAAATATGTTCCCGATTTCTAAATCATATTTCGGATCGGAAATAAACACAGAACTCTGTTTGAAAGCATGATTTCAGTGATCAAATTTTAACTTCCCGAAAACTGCGAATGCGTCAAAAAATGGATTATGCCAGAGTTGCCGTTCTTTGCCGCAGGCTAGGAGAAACGCAGGCTCTGGGTACGAGATTGATGGCTTCCAAATTTATGCTTTGTGATTGGATCAATGCTGCGGTTTTCTTCTTTTTAATTGGTCATCATGTTGTCTATTTTTTGAGAAAGCTATTTGCTCGTTTCTTGCTGACCACAACTTTATCTGGAAATGAAGCAAAAGTACCTATGGTTAGTACATACTGCTGTACAACGAGTCTAGTAGTTTTGTTTGTCAGCCAGTTTTTGTTATTCTCACTTTCATTCTAATCTAACACTCTCTAAGTTCAATCTTGTTCCCAAGTCTTAAGATATGTTCACTGCGATATTATATTATATTGAAGAAATAGAATACGCGCACGCGTGCTGTGTGCAGCCATAAAGCACGCGGAGGTTGGCAGAACACGAGAAAAGTGTTAGGAGAAGCACGACACTTAACGGAATGCTTCTGGACACTTCTCGAGTGTTCTGCCAATCCCCAAGTGCTTTATGACTGCACACAGCACAGCAAGCAAGTTTTTTATTTCTTTTATAAAATACAAATTACAAAAACCGTTATTTTAGATAGGAATGAAGCGACGGAAAGTGCGCGCCTGTGCAATATAATCTTTTAAAACACGCGCTCCAAACCAATCAGAACGCGACATTCATAACAGTTATTTTATAATACGACATAACGTGCAATCGTATTAGTAAAATGATTAGCGTGCTTAAACGCGCTCAAAACCTCGATGGACTAAACGCGTGACATGATTGAGAATAGTCTCCTACACAGCCGCTATTAGTGTTGTAACGCCACCTTCACTCCCCTAAGTAGCTATTCTCACTATGGAATTCGAGCACGAAAAGCCCAAAAAAACGAGATTTTTCACATCAACGCTTATTTGCATGAGTCTCGGGTTCTCGTGGCATGCATTCTCTCGCCCTACTTCTTATATAAACGTTCCCGTTCTCTCTGGACTCGCACATTTTAGCTCGTTTGCGTTCTACGAGAAGTAATGGAAAAAACTTTTAATTCTTTACATCATTCATCGCTGCGCCGTGGGAGCTAAGACACATTAATGAAAGGTACAGAGAAAGAAGAAAACTATGTCCCAAGTACCAGCTCAGCAAGTTCTGGCTACCGTACAAGCTGTTTTTCAGGCCGACCCGCCGCCTCTGAATCGATCAACAACCTCAGCCAAAACCGCAACCACAGAATCAACTACTACAAATTGGACATGCCGAAGAAGCACAGAATCCCGTTCCTCCGCAACAGGCCGTTCAGGACACTTTTGGAGGTCACGCCGAAGTAGTAGGTAATACTTTTCGTCTGTGTTGCTCCTTCATTTTTACCTTATTGGTTATAGTCGCTCACGGTTTCGATTTAAATGTTTTTGCTTTTGCCATTATTCAGTATCGTGTGAAAAACGTTGATCATTGATTTGGCAAAGTTCAGCCACGTGTGAAGTTGGTCGTTCAAAATACTAGGTAGGTGTCTGGTAAAGTTGAGAGATATATTATATAGCTCAAAACAATCGTTAATTATTTCGCAAAGGTTCAAAGACGAGTGAAGTTGCTCAAAATGTTAGGTATTTGGCCAAAGTTCAGCGGCGTGTGAGGTCGCTCGAAATATACTTGTTAATTATTTCGCAAAAGTTCAGCGGCGAGTGGGGTCGATCAAAATGTTAGTTAGGTACAGCTGTATTTGGAAAAGTTCAGCGGCGTGTGAGGTCGCTCAAAATGTTAGTTGGGTATTTAGGAAAGTTCAGCGGCGTGTGAGGTCGCTCGAAAAACTCGTTATTTGGCAAAATTCGGCGATTGCGTGTGTTCCCCCTGCTAAGCCGCCTCGATGGGGTTATCTAATACCCTTCATTACTCTGTCCCTGGACGGGGTATTTCGGGGCTGCTTCGCTTGGGGTTATTTCCCTTCTCTAGCACACCTTTTCTCTACGCCTTCGTTTAATTCCGGCTTCCTATTTTCCTCAGCATTTATCGCCTGGGGACGTGAAAACTTGTTCAGTAAATGTTTATTGGTATTAATGGAAGGGAGACACCCCAAGCGCAGCAGCGCCGTTATCGCTACCCGAATCGGTTGCCGAGTTATTGCATCTTTGAAACCCGAACTATTAGCCGGCGCTTGATTACGAGGTAGTTATTCCCTTCGTGCCTAGGGCTTTGTGAGCGAATTCTCATAGTGAAAATATATAACTATTTAAGGGAGTGAGCGTTGCGTGACGACACTAATAGCGGCTGCGTAGAAGACTTGATTTTCAGAAGCGCGCGCAAGTAGAATCTAAGTAGAATTTTAGTTTAACTATCAAGGAATCTGTTCAAACTGACTGATTTAAATGTGCATCCATAGACAATTACCACTCTGAAGGTAGACGGAAAACCTAGCAGGATATTTAACACAATTTTCAATTTCCCAGGAAGATCAACTTAGAATTTAAGAGTTGCTTTTTGCGGAGGGGGGAAAACTGAAGAACCCAGAGGAAAAACCCTCGAAGCACAGGATAGAACCAACAAACAACTCGACTCACATGTGATGGCAAGTCCAAATGTGGCGCCGCATTTCAGTGTTCGCCCCCACACGTGCCTACACATATTCTTCCTGAGTTCTTCGTGTACACCCGAGAGGTAAAAGAAAGAAAATGCCAGCTTACATTCCATTGAGGTATGGTGCACGCTGTTATATATAACCAATCTTTAATTATATGAGATATTAATAACATGCTGATTGGCTGGCTACCGTGCTATATCAGAGGACAGAGACACACTCGCTCAAAAATATTTTATAAAAGCAATATAAAAATGCTACTTATGTCTTTCAACTGTGATATAAACATGCTGGAAGCTGTACGGGCATTTCAAAAGCAAAAAAACACTACTTCTTGTGTTCCTAAACTTGCTTATCGTCCCTATAGTTCTCTACAGTTCCCAGCTTGTTTATATCACAGTACAGAGACATGCGCGCGCGTCTTATATTCCTTAATCAAAGTTTACCTGTAGACCGAGATCTCTTGGCGAATGCAGCATCCGGGGTTCCTTTTTCTCGGTTATCTTCAAACGTTTCGTGAAAATTCTCGTCACCTTCTTGAATCTTTCTGTTTCCATCTTCAATGTCTCTCATTAGTTTATCATTGAGTTGAGTAGCATCTTCATGATATTCTTCGTGATCTCGTCGTTCACATTCTAACTGAAATCGCCATTGTTCTTGCGCATGTTCGTATGACTGTCGTGAAAACTCGAACGCTTGCCGATTCCAACCCGATGACTTCTGAATAAGGATGGCGATGGTGATAATATTCAAAAGTAGGTTCCGAAGTTTGAATTTCTTCATTTCATTTAACGTAATCCATTGTTGAATTTTTAACTCTTTCTGCAATAAATTTTAAAAAACGGATAAGCAGCTGCGAAAAAAAAATAGAACACTAGCTTAAGGTGAAATAAACTGAGCTTTTTGGATGCTTTGAACAGAACCGGCTTATCCTGTTTTTGATTGACTAACAAGACTAAATTTTAATGTTTTGTTGAGCGTCTAGTTGAGAATGGCTTTCTTCAGATTTAAGGTTAATTCCATGAACTACTGCGACAAGGTGTATAACATAATATAGTAATATATACACAACATAGCATAAATAGCCAGAACATGTCTGATTGTCACGAAACAATAGAAAGTACAGAATAATAGGGAAAAATATTTAGTATAATTTTAAGCTTGAATATATAGTTTTGCGCGCTGTGATTGGTCGAGCGACCAGTGATTCTGAGTCGATAATCCCTGCTAGAAAATTTCCAAAATTAGCCAGATCGGAAGTAATGTCCTGAATTTTGTATTTTTTCTGATATACAAATGTAAAATTATAATAAAACAGTTATTCCCCTCTGGCTCAGTGATTATGATGAGTAGACTCGCGGCCCGGTAAATATTCACCAATAGACACTTCGCCTTCGGCGAATAATTGTTACATATGATATAGAATAAAAAGTCGGTTGTCACCAAATATAAGATTAGCTCTATAAACCTGTGACAAGGTGCGTGTGCAATTATCATAGTCATAACAATGTCTGACGCACAAAAATCAAATAGAAAAAAATATGTACATAAAAAACGACTTCGGCAACAAAAAGGAATTGAAAAAAAAAAATGAAAGAAAGAAAGAGCTCCATACTTACCTTAATTTATAGTAAATAAGTATTTTCTCGTGTTTGTATGAACAGTTATTTAGTAGTATCAAAATTCCTTGGACGTAGATGAAGAGTTAACGAATAGATAAACAGGTGGATATAAACATCGAGATGTCAGTCACCAGTAAATACTGACAACCATAGGACGGCCTGACTGTTATCAGAATATTGAATCTCATATGACATGAGGATACGTATTAATGTACCATTATTTTAAAATTAAAACCAAAATCAAAAATTATTAGGAAACATTATGTAAATACTGGGCATGCTCAGTTAATCACGAAGAAACCAGTGGGATCTCGTTCCCAGAGGCCTTTAATCTCGTACCCAGATCCTTTATTTCTTACTGCGCATGCTCGACGAGAAATATAGGCTCTGGGTAAGAGAGGCCTTATTTCTTACTGCACATCGACGTCAGTATGCGCAGTAATAAATAACGGCTCTGGGAATGAGATTGAGACTAGGGGGATGAAATGTGAGTACCTAAATTTTGGGCTCCCTGTGTTTTTTTTAGTCGGTTGCAGCCTTAAAGCATGATGGTCTGGGATTACTTCTTTTTCGTAAACAAGATAAAATGGTTTGATTGCTAAATGTGATAAGAAGTTTGCTTTTCTTGTTTCTAGTGTATTGGCTGCAGGTTGAGAAGATGGAAAGGATTTTTTAAATTTACTAACTAAAAATAGAAACTCACACAAGTAGAGATTTCCAATTCATCTAGAAATAGGTCTTCTCAGCCAATCGAATTTCAGAAATTTCTTCAGTAAAGTTAAATCTGAAAATGAAACTCTAACCTTTTGGATTAAAAAAAAATAAGATTTTTATTTACAAACTTCTACCTTACGAGCCAAAATACTTAAAACTCCAATATATTTTTCCTGTATAAAATCAAAATATGTAATCCTAAATTATTTACAATGTCTGCTGCTACTTTTAAGCTCTAAGTGGAATGATAGACAGCTTTGGTGGGATAGCGTACTGCGTTAAATAATCAGGGTGTGCAGACCTAATGGTCAGCGGTACATCTTTGAAGGTCGTAATATCGTTCTTTCGTTTTCGTTTTTCTAATAGCTCTAGAATCATCTGCCTTTTGTAAGCTTTCCATTTTATTTCGTCGACATAACTATGGAATATTTGATTGGTCGAAGGAATAGATTGAAGTAAATATTCACGCATTTCCGTTAGTATTATCCCTCGATTGGCTCGCGCCAGGACGATCCGTGGTACATGCATTAGTTCAACCTTGAAAGGAAGAAAAGGCATTCCTGTCAGAAACCTGATTAGTAACATGACTGGGAGTTCATAAGACTAGTGATCAAGAGACTAACACTCTACAGAAGAAAAAAAACCCAGTTAAATGTTATATTGAAAGTGACGCTATTTTGCCAGAGCAGTGGCGAATCCAGGATTTTTCAAAGGGGGGTTCCGTTTCTTAAACTGTGTATAATTCTCTTTTGTTTAGTCGATGTTTGACAAAAAAATTGGCTCTAATCGCCTAAATTTGCTATCTAGTAACGGGACTTAAAGGTAAATTAAACATTATAACAGCAAATATTTATCATTTCGTGTTCAACATATAATCTTTGTGATACTTTTAAGCAAAATTTATACATTTATTTCAATAAAGTTAGTCAACAAAAACCTAGAAAGCTGAGATCACTGAGCATCATGGAAACTTTTCATATCAAAAAAGCATATATATATACAAAGCTTTTTTAAAACAAACTGCAGCTCGATGATGCTCAGGAGATGTGAGACTGTAACCGAAAAAAGATTCGCAAGTCCATGAACAGTTATTAAGCTGTTGAACGTGTAAAATGAATCTACCCATAATCCTGGTCGGCCTCAGCTTTATAGCTTTTCAGGTGACTAACTTTATTGAAATAAGTGTATAAGACATATTTCTATAACCTAAAAGATCAAACCTTCAAGGGGGGTTCCGTGGACCCCTTCGACCACCCCCTCCCCCTGGATCCGCCACTGCAGAGCACATTTTGTTTTGAATTCCTGGCAAGGAATTGGTGCTGTTGAGTTTAATTTCTCTTAGTATCATTTTGAATTTGAATTTAAAGTTTCTCGGCTGATCAGTCCAACGACCACTGGATATGAGACGATATTCACTTTTTTTTAGCAGTGATTATGAGGTATATAATATATAATATATAAAACTTTTTTATTATTATTATTATTATTTTTTTTTTTTGATATCCAAGTCCGAAATTATACGAAGACAATTATTTACCTCAGGCTTAGTGAATACGGTAAATATTTACTACGGTTACGGTACAAAACTAGAAGCATTGGTTAACCAATTAGAACGCTTGACAGTTTCCATTCAATCAGAGTGCTCGGAAATGGCACGTTCACGACAAGGCACGTTTTTACGCGATACGTTTTCACATACGTTCAAACGGGTCACTAGGATATGCTTTACAAAGCGTGTCTCGTTGATCCTAGTTAAACCACAAAATGTTTTACCTTTCCAGCAGTTACTACCACCATGTTGTTCGTGTGTTCTCCTAGTCCAAAAAAGTCTCCTTTTCCCAGTACTCTTACGACGAGGAAATGCTTCTTCATGGTGTCGTTTTCTGTCATTTGGAATGCCTTTCTTTTCTCGGCTTCTTCTGGCGGGAAAATAAGTTTGGTTGCTCCAAATGGTAGTATCCTGGTGACCAGGTTCATCTCCATGACGACACGACATTGTCCTGACTTAATGAAATATACAAACTCGCCATCGCTCTTATTTCCTCGTAAAATGATCTGGGATAAAAACACACACGGTTTTTAGCTAAAATGTGGTATAAGCAAAAAAGAAAGAAAGTATTAGGAAAGAAAAGGATAAAGGAAAGAAGGAAAGTTGAAGGAAATTAAAAAGTCAACACAATAGTTATCATAAGTGAATAAGAAAGAATAAATAAAAACACCGTGAAAGAATGTTTGGAACTGTACTGACGTTTCGGACGTTGGTTTAATTTGACGAAAATTTCATTCAGCAGAACTACTAGCTACTCGTGTAACTAAAGCTTACATCTATACCGCCAAGGTCCAGCTCAGGTTAAACGTCGAATTTTTTTACATGAGCCGAACCTATTTGAAACGGTCTTCTTTGATGTCACTAGGTTCGACTCATGTAAACAAGGAAATGTGGCATCCCTCATGAAACTTTCTCATAATGCTGCTGCAAGACGTTTTAACTGATTGCTCTACGACACGTAAAAACCTCGGTCTGTTTGCCCTGGCTGGCGCCGACAGGTCGAGAGTGTTTCACGTTTCTTCATAGTTAGTAGAAGGGAATGGTCTCCCTAGGAACTGGTTTCTTCCTGTATACAATAGACAGTATTTTCGCAACTATGACGGACGTGTGGCACACTTGTAAGTCACCACTTGAGCACTTGTGTTTCGCGGGCTAAAGTCCGACATCTCGTTCAACTCTTCCTACTTCACTTCCTCTTTCGCCTCTAGGGCCATTTGTCTAGATTTCCGCTTATTATATGACTTCGAAAAGACATCACATATTTATATACAATGTTTTACTTGTCGGCAAACGTACGGAAATAAAACTGACGGGGGCCGGCAGTTACATAAAAGGTAAAGGTTCTTATAAAAACTTGAAGTTTTAGTAAATAACATTAGGAAAGTGGGTGTGTTGCCAACGCCCGCCACTTTAGGCGGGTAAGATTCAAGGTTATCTAGAAAATCTAAAAAAAATTAATTATGAGATTTACCACTTAGGAATGGACGGCGGAAAGCCTAACAGGTTTTACAACTACTTGATGAGGCAGCCGATAGATCGATGAGAATTTAGAAGTTGATTTTTGCGGACGGAGGAAAACCGGAGAACCCAGAGAAAAACCAAAAACTCTACTCACATACGACACCGAGATTATACGATGTCCAGGTTTCAAGTAAAATGAAGCCTTTTAGGTTTTCCATTGGGAAGCAATGGTGGCGTGCACTGCTAATGCGCCACCTAGCTGGAGCCTAGCTCTGTTGTGATTGTCTCGGCACACTGTGATACACAAGCGAAAGCTTAATTTTTCATTCATGTTTTTTTCCCCATTTATTTGTTTCCTTTTTCTTTTCTTGGTTGTTAAGCCTTTATAATTTGACATACAAGTTCTAGCTAGCTTTTCGCAAAGTATATGACTGCTGAAATCATTCGCACAAATCGGAAAAGATAACAGAAATATGTAACATCCTTCCATAACTGAAATTGCCGTAACATACGATATTGAACAGTCATTATCACAGTGTAAGGTCATATGTCGTTTACAAAAAATTGTCTTTCATGTTTCAGTTACAAAAAAAAAACACGATTTTTTCCTCGGCCTTATAATCTGGAGGGAAAAAAACGTGTCACAGTTTTGACTTAAAATGCATCAATTATCAGAAACTAAACAACATGTTTAACGAATGGTCAGTAGGGGAAAATAGATAACTAGTGCCGAAGATACCAAATGCCTCTTAGGAAGCTGGTTTTTTTTAGACATAACAAATTCAGCCCGCGGCAAGGAAAGTCTGGAATTTCTAGAAACGTTCGCTAACACGTATTCTTCATCTTCTGTTGTAGATTAGGATTGTTTGGAGCCTTTTTCGTCCAAAAGCTTTAATGGAAAGCGCAAAGCAGGTTTATTTTTGAAAAGAGGCTGAAGTAGGCGGATGATGATTATTGATGCCCCGAATTGACACGTCCTGAAAAAGCCGAGGGGTTTCAGGGCAACTGGGAGAATGCAATGTCCATCTTTCCATAAAGAAAAGATTTCAATTCTCAAAGAAAAACATTTTTTATCAATTTTTTGCCCCATAACTTGAGCAGCCCTTTTTCTTATTTCTCTGAGTCCGCATGCCTTCAAATTTCAACTTCAACTTCGAATCATGTTTTGGCTTTCACAACACGTGCTTGCTTTCAGTTCAGCATAGTCATGATTTTAGTGTTTTTTGGCTCTAAACGTGCGTGCAGTAGCGCATGCGGCATTTATAGTAAGATTAAAATGTGAGAAAAAGATTTTAGAGATTAATTATGGTTTCAAAAGGCATAAAGTGAACTCTAAAGTGTCCTCAATTATGGCGCTTCATTAAATATGCAGTACTTATCGGAGATGGAAAAGACTGGTAATTCCATCAGCGATACTCGATGCTTCTGAACTTTAAGTCATAATTGGAAGGGCGAAATGAAGAGCTCGTTGAATTCGTAAACTACTTTACTACTTCGTTAAGAAACCACCAGCTTCTAGTGAATTATGGTTAAATATTGTCGACTGATCTATTATACGCTGGTTTGCTAATATAGTTCTTCTCAATATAGCACGCGCGCAATTTACGTCGGTTTTGGTGGACGTCAATGCGTTTCATTGAAGACATTCCATAGGCACATCCTGCCCTTGAAAAATTGTCCACCATTTTCTTTACATCCACCTCTTTTGTCGCGACGGCAAATATCGTACTTTTTTTACGTTTATATTTTACGCCGGTGCGATTAGGAAAGCGCTGTAACGCCTAATGGTGTTAACATCATCAGTGTAAATTAATACAACACGATGATAAAACCGACTCCAACAAACAGAACACCACAGTGGTATTATCATAGTAATATCCGCCAGTGAATTAATATTTACCCGATGATACCATTCACAGTTCCACACAAATGAAAACCATAAGTTTAGTTAAATTTCGGGCGAAACGATTTCTTCCAGAAACCAGTGCACGACGCATTGCGTTCTTTCTGCGTCGGCAGGTGTATTTGTAACATGTTTAGGAGTCACAAAAATTGAAAAAAACTCCGAGATCTTTTGATTCATTGAGTAAATGATTATCACAATTAGTAATTGAAGATTCTATCATTTTCAAGAATCATAACGTCAGTATGTAAGAAATGAATTTCTGTGTTTTTACATTCCATTGAGATAGTGAACTCTTTCGATTCTTTTTGCGATTTACAATTGCAGCTTTATTTTTCATGGCAGCTGGCTTCTCTAACTACTCGTCTAAAAATCTTTATTTCTTAATTTTTCAAGGTTTTACAATTATTATATAAGTACTAGATCCTCGTATAGATAACAGTAAAGCTTACCGTTGCTTATAGTTTACTTTATTATTTATGATGATGTTAAAACACTTTGGTCCAAACGTGATACTCATATGTCAAAACGCAGCACGCGTCATTTAGGCGGGAAAATTTCGCGCCTAAAAAGAGAAAATTTCTTTTCATTTTATCAAACAGGGAAGACAAATTAGGAAAGAATTGCGAAAGAAAAAGTAAAAGGATTACGAAAGAATATAATCTAAGTAATATAATTTCATGAATTTAGTCGGAAGGATTTATTAGTAGGCAGTCATTTCATTAGCACACATACACACTTTACCTCAATACCTGAAGTACCAATTCTACCTCTTAGTCAGTTTAATATCTTCAAGTTTAAAAACACACCATTATCGGTTTTGAAAAGCCGCTTTAATCTTTGCTTGGAGGAAGAAGTATTTCCTTTGTATGTGATGTTTGGTGCTTTCGAGCACGTCGCATTGGCTAATCTAGAAGAAATGCATATGTAGAATTCGCTCAAGATTCTTCTGTCTATGAGGGGATAAAGTATTGGGATTACTCTTTTAGGGCTTGACAATTTTTGACAGCAAGGTTGGGAAAATCTTTATTCGTAATTAGCAAATTTAGGCAGCGTTGATGTATTAGACTGTACAAGTTATTCAAGTCAATTTACAGATAAAGACGCTTTAACCTAATTAAAAAAAAGAAAGAAGGGAAAAAAGCTATAAAATGTATGCATCAAAATGTATTAGACTCTACAATCTATATTTTCAATTTACTCTTTTTGTGTCGGCGAAGTTTAGAATTAAACAAGCCTTTTTATATACTAAGTATTGTAACATTTAGCAAACTACTATTTACGATTTACAATTTTTTTTTTCAATCTACAACAAAAAATCGTACTTTATAAAAAAATAATCCAAAGCAGGATTATGTCGGGAATAAAATTCCTAAGGTTATTGGAATTGGCTTGAATTGTCAATACTAATATTACTAATAATAACTACTAATATTAATTACGTATATTACATTTATGTGATGTCAGTATTTTGACTTTTACCTTTTTAAAATTTAAAATCTCAAATTATATAAACCTATTTATTTTTCTGTAGAATTATTTTCCTTTTTGCAACTCAGTAAAGAGCTTCCTTCTTAAAGAGCATTAACTATCAATCAGATACGAATTTTCTCAATATATTTTTCATAGTTTTTTATGAGCTAAAATGAAAGAATTAAACACTGTCTGTTCGAATGATCGATTCCTTGAGATTGACATTCATTCAATCTGGATAATCAAAGCGAGTTTAATCTAAAGCTAATCATATTTTTTACTCTTGATTTAAGAACTCTGGCTTAATTCCCACTGCAACAGAAAAGAAGTAACTGAAATGCGTTCGGAATTCTCTAGAACTGATTTTTTTTAAGTATGTGAGATTTATTAGTAAAAATTTCGGTCAGATATTTACAGTTTGAACTTTAGACAATACTGAAAATTCAACCTCGTTAACCGTGTTTGAAAACATCTGCAACTAAATTTCTCTCTTCACATAAATCAGGGTCGTTTGTCAGTTGTTTCAGGGTTTAGTGTTTCATTTTAAAAGCATTGTGTTTATAAATTAAACTCGAGACAATAAAATCGAGTTGGTGCGACAGTAGGGTGCGTGATTGCATAACCGTTAACTTCAATATATTTGGATCGCCTAAGACCTATAAATATATAGATATCAATAATGATCCCAAATAGATCAACCTTGCTCAGTTTCTTCCTCAAGTACTCAAAGGTTTTTGGCATCTTTTCATAGCTGTTCTTTGCTGAATTTCATATGAGCTAGTAAACAATAATTTATACTTCAAGGTTTTCCAGATGTTTAGTTTGGACAAATTCTCAGAAAAAATATCAAAATGGTACTCTTTCCTTTCGCTTGAATTACAGTTTTACTACTTTTAATTCAACTTTGCAAACTCATGAAAATTGTTTTCTTCATTGGATTACCTGAATAGATGTACGCATGTTTCACGATTGTTTACGTTTCATCAACCAAAAAATACATTTTGTTTTTCCATCTGTTCGTTAAAACATTGTCTCATTTTTCACTTAATGGTTTTTGATTAAGTCTCTGATACCCCGGGCCTTTGGTCCCCCGTCCTTTGTTTTCCAGCTTGTTTAGTATCTTGGGTTTCTCCGTATTTACCATACATTCTCGAGAAGGCATTTTGAACCCCCAACTCCGAAACACTTGAGTTTTCTCTTGGCCTAACGGCACCCGTGCCTCGTATTTTGCTCGAAAGCACCTCAAAAAACCTGACAAATGCTTGTCGAAGTTTCTTACTGAATATAACGTAGATAAAAGGGTTTAGAGTACTGTTAATGTTAGGAAGTGTATATACAAAGGTTATGTTGGCAAACATTATAAGCCCTCGTTTTGTAGCGTCTCCATAGTCCTGAAAACAGGTTAGACACCAGAATTTAGCCATAAGTATGATGAAAAATGGAGCCCAACAAACAACAAAAGCACCAACTACAATTGCAAGGGTTTTGGCTGCTTTGATTTCGCGGGTCAAGGCTATGCGTTGGTTGGACGTGGTGTTCAGTCCTATAGCAGGTAATGCCGGGACGGTAAGACGCCGTATAGCCCGCCAATGTCCGATAGCAACTTTGAAGACGTACGAATAGGCGATGATTATGATGGTCAGTGGCAAAAAAAATCCGAGACAAGACGCAAAGGTGTAGAAATATTTATCTTTCTTGAAGCACCCATCGTCAATGAATACCACGGGTTGGTTTGGGATTGTCCAGTTGACAAGGCCACTAGAGGCAACAATGATTGAATATAGCCATACTATTGAAATCATGGCGATTTTGGTTGTCTTTGACAGCAAATCTTGGTAGGTTAGCGGATACATGGTGGCCAAAAATCTATCCACGGAGATCAAGGCAAGATTACCAATAGACGCGCAACAGCAAAATAAGTCGATACAGACCCAAAACTGGCAAGCACCTTCGCCAAGACACCATTTCGTGTTGTGTAACGTCTGGTGGATGCGAAACGGTAAAGATAATGATCCAACCATCAGGTCACTAACAGCAAGAGATGCCACGATGTAGTTGGTAAAACTATGAAGACTTTGAGATATGAAGACAGTTATACAAACAGTGAAGTTCCCAACAAGTGTGATGACGAGAATTATGAGCAAAAACCCAGTCTGTACTGCAAATGATCCACTTGTTCGCTCTGAACAGGAATCCAAGCCGGTTGTCGCGTTTACAGAGTCTGAACTCATTTCAAATGTCTTGTGAGAAAACCGAAGGTTCAGTGAGGCAATTAAATATAGCTTTATCACATTCAACTTGAATCGGATTTGACTGCGATTGGATGTATTATTCTGTCAGCTTAGTATGTTTTCTTGATCGAATCAATATCTCTTCAAGAAAAAAAAACACGTTTTTCTACTAAAAATAAACCAGTGCAGCAAACACGGAAAACAATAGCAGCAAGTTCTAACGTCAAATCATACAAATAAATTTGTTCAATTTCATTTTTTTGTCATGATATATGCTAATTATGGATCAATTTTGTTCAACAAACATCGGAAGAAAAAAGTTAGCTTATTCTCGGATGTTGAAAAGGCCTTAGCATAAACGGTTGAGATAAGCGCTAGCTCTCGTTTGCTGTATATACGTGGCTTCGTTTTTGTTAAATCCAGAATCTATCAATCAAACTGTATCAAGTTTGTATCATAAGCAAACCAAAGTTCTCTGCTCTCGATCTCACAACAGGGTTTTTTCCAGTTCGCGTTGAAGGAACTCTTCCTTACTGTCGTCTTTGAGACAACCAGCCTACAAGTGTAAGCTAAGCGAAATACTACGGCGTTTTATAGTGCTATCAAACTTGCACTTCTCTGGCGGATGATTAGAGATTGTCAGCTTTGAAGTATCCACTGATTTGATTGGCTACCTTGTATACATCCGTGATAGCTCATTTTGAGCGCCACTGTCAAGACATGACATCTCACACAAAAAAATCAAGACAGCGACAGAATATAAGTTTCAAACTTGATTGACATAACAAATCATATTGAATATTAATAAAAATGTTTAGGAGATCGCTAATGAAGAGGATTGTTTCCAATAGTGACAAGCTAAATTTCGCTTTGTTATTTTGTTCACACAGACGGACAAGTGACTCATTGACAAAACACCTTTCACATGAATACTAAAAAAAATTATCTTCACTTCAAATTCCCTTCGTTAAAAGATTGCGATATTAGAATCATTCTGAGAACCGTTTCTATAGTCTTTTTGTAAAAACTATTCAATCTATAGGTTGTTTACTTTAGTCGTGTCGAGGGTCTGGTAGTGTGTCATTTTAGAAGCAAAGCCAAACTGAAATTATGACAAGTATTGGTGCGATTGCCAATACCACGTCGATAGGAGAAATATCACAGGCCTATCTGTGTTGACTTTTCCACCCGTCATTAGATATTGCAGGTTTTCTACTCAGTAATTAAAGGAAAAATGATTTTAATCTGACACGACACCGATAAAAAGGAATAACCCACAAAAATACAGAGAGTTAGAAAAAAAAGACGATAATCTAGAAAACCCATCGCCGATCAGTGCTTTTATTATTTGTGCCATTGAGATAGCGAAGCTAGATTTTAGTTGTCCTAGACCTTATCTTTTTTCATTATTGCGCTGTCATATAAAAGTCGTAGTGCGGGGGCATGGAAGTCATTAGTATACCAGTTACTAAAGATCTGCGCTTAAGGACTCGATTCATGCAACAGAAAAAGATAAGAAACATCGAAACAGCTCCTCCGATAGCCGCAGTTCGGCTTTCCATGGTAGATCTAATCATGTTTTTGGATTTCATATATTTTGAGTGCCGACAATGAATGCTAGAACTTTATCAGCGCTTAATGTCTTTACTGTGATGCGATGATGTTAATCTTCGATTCTTCTGTCAATCACTAAAACCGCAGTTTTTTAATTGTTTTTATTTGGTAGCCATTTGTAAGGCTGGATCATTTCTAGTGTTTTCTTGATGAGAGAACGTAATTTGTGTTTTGCAGTGTGATTAATGTTTTGATGAAGATGTGTCGGTACAGTGGGATTTGGTGGGTGGATGGGTGTCTGTTGTTATTCCAGTACACCAACACATGCCTCACCTGCGAACAGCTTAACAAACTTACATGTCACGCAGATATAAACTCGAGTTTAAGACACCTGCAAGAATCGATCGTAGCGCACTAGATATCAAGCCATAATGGCTCTCACAAAATGAAATATTCCTTTTCTGGAGATGAAGAGAGCTTCTTAGCTTGTATATCTCGAACTTACACCGAATTTATGCTGGGTCCACCTGCCATAGGTTGCCAAATAACACATAGGTATCCACTAAAGGCTTGAAGTGCGCATTCGTCTTCTGCCACCATCTAGATAAAAGTACTCATTATTTCTTATGAACCTGAACTAGGCATGACCTTCCTTCAACCACCTTAATAACACATAGGTATCCACCAAACGCTTGGAGTGCGCATTCGTCTTCTGCCACCATCTAGATTAAAGTACTCATTATTCCTTATGAAACTGAACTAGACATGGCCTTCCTTCAACCAGCTTAATAACACACAGGTATCCACCAAACGCTTGAAGTGCGCATTCGTCTTCTGTCACCATCTAGATTAAAGTAGGTCCTACCTCACTCCAATTAGCAGGTCCATTATACAAATTTACTCTAAATTCAATCAGCCACACTTGCCATAAAAGTATAGCACGTCTCGCAAAACTCTTGGGGCACGCATCCATCTGTCCAAGGTGCTAAGTATTCTTTTTGGAGACAAATTGAACATGACCTCGAAATAGAGGGTTATAGGAATACAGAAATATTTTAAAATTTCATCACAAAACTTTAATAGAAAAAGGCTAAGGCCAAGGGCCATTTCAAGCGCTTACACTGCTTTCAATTTTGTACTTGCAGTATCAGCATTATATGTAATCTGTATGTACTGTAGACTCGTATATTTATTTTATTTTGTAATCATATTTATCTATACATGCCTCCATTTAAACTAGCCTATGCTTAACTGGATGTTCCTGTTAAAATATCGAAATAAAGAAAATTCAATAAAAAAGGTGCTGAGTTCCAAAGATTTTCGGGCAATAAGTAATTCTCAAACACTGAAGTTCTTCAGAAAGTTCTTGGTTTTAAATATCAGCAATATTTTTCCTGTGCAGTTGTTTGTTTGTTTGTTGTAGAGTACAAACAATATATCCGTGAAACACTAATTACTAAATTGTTCAAAATAGTGCTTATTAAACAATAGAAAATAATAGAATTAGCATAAAACAGTGTAAGTTAGTATTACTAATATTTCACGGATATATTGTTTGCACTCTATGTACGTTTGTTTGTTCGTTTGATTGTTTGTTTTATGTTCTTCGTATTTCATTTGTAATTAAGGCAATGTAGTGGAGGCAATTCAAAACCGCGGATGGATTTGAACTAAAAAAGATGGTCCTAATATACACGATATCTGCCGCGTTAGAGTGAAAAATAATGACCCAACTGTAACTTGCACGTTTACTATAGATTCAAACGACAGAAAAAAATCAAGCTTGTGGATTTTTAAGTGTATGCTCAAAAGTGCTAAGTCAAGGTGAGGAAGTACAGCTCTGGTTTTATATGGTCCAATTTCCATTTACAACATCAATTTTTAAGAAGCCGTATAGTAATGGCACCATCTCATTGCCAGAACTTCCGACTCTTTGGCACCCCTTTCCCCAAACATTTTCCAATAGCGCCGATAAATCAGTGCCAAACGCTTAAAAGGTGCAGTTTGTAAAATAGTCTTTGTCATTCCGCCGACTTAGGAACTTTAACGCATATGAATGAGAAGGGAAAAAAAGAGAGAGACAAGTAGAATTACAAGAAAGAGCGAGGCTCGCATAGAATAAATATCACAACAATTGTTATTGAAAAGAACGAAGTCTAATGGTGCAATTATCAAAAACTGTACAAAACGTTTAGTTCGGTTGGTTAAAAGTAGTCTGTCATTGCTACTTTGGAAGTACTGTGTTAAAGTAAAGCTTTGTTAAGTAATGCTGTGTTGAAGTAATACTGTGTTATTGCTATAGGTGCTGTGCTGAAGCTCTTGTCATTACTATGCCAACCAGAGTTTGATTCGTTGGTGAAACAAAGCAACTTGGCACTAGAACTATTGTGATAATGGTTGGCAAATCAACATCGCAATGCTAATGTTTGTAAACACCATCTAGCGCTATACCGTGTAGAGCATGTGCAGGTTACGTCATAACCACCATCTTGGTTGACGATAATAAAGCATTCCTCATTAGCTTTTCTTGTTAGGTCAACCAACATGGCGGTTGTTTCATTGTTATTTATATCTCAAGGGATTTTTGTTGCACTAACTTTATTTAAACGTTTGAAATATTTGACTACATTTGAACACTGAAATCTTGCTTACCGTATTTTCTGGGTACTGGACTACTTTAGAATTAGCTGCAGCGTTTTGTAGTTCTTTATTCGAAAAAAAGCCTTGAAACTCGGGAAGAAATCTCAGGTAATTGACACGTGACTTCCACTCCTCTTCATAACTGGTTTTCAAAACCTGTTTCAAACAAGAATGTCATGTTATCCTTAACATAACGACCTTTAGTGCTTTTTGTATGCTTCTTCCGCAGTCTCCTTTCCTTAATATTATTTATGGAGTTTTATCTTTACTTGCGCTATTAATATACTCTATGGCCTTCAATAACTTGTCTATGTCATATATATTGAATGACTTGAGGTTCTTTTTATCCATTTTCGGACAAGTGAGTAAAAGAATTGTCAAGTAAAACACTTCAAAGTAAAACGCTTTATATCTGGTACTTTATCTCTATATCCTCTCAGAAAAAAAAGGGCTTTATGTTTCGATGTACTTTTATTTCACTGTCATTCATTTGATAGTGAATCCCCCATTCGCAGGATTCTGTTTTCTCTTTCCCTTTTGGGTTAGGAAAAAGTGATCGGTCGCTAAGGCCATTTGCAGGAAATAATCACCTGACTGTTACTTGTCGGTGAAAACAGCGGACTTCCTTTATTTAAATAACTTTAGCTGGATAACTAATGTTAACTAAACCTTTTCCGAAATACTTTTTTTCCCTTTTTAAGGCTGCGTTCATAATGTATGTCACAGGGGGGCAGGTGAAATTTAGGGGGGATCGGAAAAGGGAGGGGGGG